CCCGCACAACATGGTCTACTCGACCACCATTATGGTTGCCGCCAAAAAAAAAAACAGAGGTGCAAAAAAAAAAAGGTAACCTGGTTGCCGAGTTCACGAGGTGAATTGGCTTGTTTTTNAAGCACTGTGCAACTGCCTCGAGGGTGCTTGACCATTTTGACACAACGTGATGCGATCATGCCCCTTTGCGCGGAGCGGGGGTTCTCCAGCCCGCACAACATGGTCTACTCGACCACCATTATGGTTGCCGCCAAAAAAAAAAACAGAGGTGCAAAAAAAAAAAGGTAACCTGGTTGCCGAGTTCACGAGGTGAATTGGCTTGTTTTTCAACGTCGTTGGCAAGCGACGAAAACCCAATCCCGATGGCAAACACCGAGGGGGGGGTTGTTTTACAACGTCATTGCCAAGCGACGAAAACCCAACCCCTATGGGTGTTCGGCATCTTGTGCTTACTTCCTTGCGTACGGATGACAGCTGCGTATGACTTAATTTATTTTCTGGTGCTGGGGTGGGGGGGGTCGTGTTTCGTCGCGGTGTGTACATATGCGGATGTGTGTGTGTGTGAGGGTGCTCCCGGGGGAGGGGGGCTTTTCTGTGCACGGTAGTCTTTTGCGTGCTTTGGCGTCGGTCGTTGAACGAATCGATCAATCCGTTCAACGCAACAGCAGTACACTACAAAAGTGTTCGTTGTCGTTTTCACGAGCCGGCTTCAAAACTCCTGGAGTGCTCCCTTATTAATCCGTTTTTGGCCGCCAAGTGCCGAGCGCTCTGTGCGTGCCCCGAACCCCTCTCACCCTCTCACCCTTCACCTCATCCCTCCAAACCGCTACGAGACGCCACGCCGATCTCTTTGCAGTTTCGTGTTTACCACTATGACCACTCTTCCCCCTCGCCTCCCTAGGAAGCTCCGTCCTGATTGTAACAATCGCCGTCATGCGCCTCTTCCGCTTTCCTCCATCTCTAGCCGGAGCTGTACGGCTCCGCGGGCAAGGGGTTGTACGACCCTCCTGCGCTCTCACGGAGCCCCCTGTACTTTTCCATCTACGCAGAGGGCGGGCTTACCATGAGGTGCGTTCCCTCACGGGGAAAGGGGTGTTTTGACAACCGACCGTCTTGCAGGCTATGATTCACAGTCGGATTATGGATGTTCGATGCTGGGCGGGAGGAGGTTTGAGCTCATATTTTGCATGCCTTAGCGGTTAAACCATTTACCACGC